AGACCAGTTTCAGTTGGTGGAAGAGACAAGCTTTTGAGCTTCACAGAGCTCTTCTTCAGGTCTGGAAAAGATAACCAGGATGTCACTGCTAAATACAAGATGGGATGGATTGTTAAGCAAAAAGAGTTAAGGTATGTTGCAAGAAACCACTTAAAAGGAAGCTAGTGATTAACTCCTCTACAGCCCTAGGACAAAGGAGGGTTTGTAAGTTACAAATTGTAATGAGCCATAAAACCAGTGTTTCCTTTGAGACCATGATTTTTAGTGATTTATGAATTTAAGTTCCTAGGCTTGTCTTTTCAAGATGTGCAGGTTTCCTTTGAGGGGGCCTGAGGGGTCAAAGAGGAAATAATTGCTTTGTGAGTTGTGTTTACCCACAGATGCTATGGTGTGTTTCTTTTATCATTTTCCTGTGTGAGTTCATGAATTTGAGAGCAGAGGCCATGTGGGATGGGGGTGGGATCACATCGTCTTCCCCCTCTATCAGATTTGCTGTTTGGCTTCTATTGAGCATGCTCACATGGACTGAGCATGCTCAGTAATACTCCTGAAGCCAGCTGCCTTCACTCTGCCCCCCCCCCCACACGCAGGAAGGGGTCAAGAGGTTATTGATTGTCTTGTTTCATCCACATAGTAGTTGTTGGGGGCATTTGATGCACTGGATGAGGTACACCACATGTAAGATAGAGATACGTAGGACGCGTAGATCTCGAGAGGTGTGTTATGGGGGGTATTGATCATCTGAGCAGTAGAGATCTATCTGCAGGTTTTGCATCTGTCTCCGGGTCTGGTGCCTATGCTGCTTTGAGTTGGTGTGTCCTGGTCTCTCTGACTCTGGTCTCATGACTCCTTACAACAATCTGTAATTTACCAATCCTCCTTTGTCCTGTAACTGCAGGGTGTTTATTGCCCACTTTCTTTTAGGTAGTTTCTTGCAATATGTGTTAACCCCTTATGCTTAACAGTCTATCCCTCCTTGTATTTAGTTGTGACACCCTGGCTTCCTTTTCCAGACCTGCAAAAAGCTCTGTGAAACTTTCCACTAAGGGCATGGCTCCACTTGCAGATGTAGAGCACTGGGAGTTAAACCAGCCTTCGGAGACCGTAGCAGGGAAAACACTGCTGCGTGTTTAACCTGTCAGCTGCAAGTGGGCTGGCATGGCCACATGAGCAGCTCTTGCAACGCCACAAAGAGCAGTGCATTGTGGTAGCTATCCCACAAGTGCAAGTGGCTGCAGCGTGCTTTTCAAGAGGGGGGTGTGTGTGGAGTGTGACAGGGAGTGTATTGTGTGTATGTGGGGGGAGAGACAGTATGTTCTGGGGTGGTAGAGAGGGTGTCAGAGAGGGTGTCAGTGGTAAGTTCAGACAGCAGTAGACCTCCCTCGCCTCACACACACTCACAACAGCAGCATTCTACAGTAATGGCTTGCTTTGTCCCGGAGCAGATAAGCAGCTGGCTGTCAGAAACGGAGCTTTGAAAGGGGATATCTGCATACCTGCAGCCAAGTTCAAAACAATGACAAGTGTGGCCACTTGACTTCAGGCGATTATGGGATGTTTCCAGAGGCCAGTCACAGCGCAGTAATGCAACACGTCGTCCACATGCCACCCGGGCGTTTCAGCCGGGGCACAGCAAGCTTTATGCTTCTCGTGCAGGAGCGCTCCAGCTGAAGAGTCGAGGCGCTCTGTGTGCCTTGCCAGTGCGGACACCTCAGGAGTTAGGGCACCCGGGGCTGATTTAATGTGCTCTAACTTGCAAGTGTAGCCAAGCCCTAACAGAAATTGGTCCAGCAAAAAATATTATCTCACTTACCTTGTCTTGCTCATATCCTGGGACCAGCATGGCTACCACAACATTGCAAACATACATCAAATATTGATTATTTCAGCCAGCCCAGATAGATGTTGGATCAATAGAAAAAGAACTACTGGGATGTTAATCACCCTTATTCTGTTTGTTTTTAATTGTTTAATTATAATTGTTAAAATTAAAGCATAATTTTTCTTTTGGATCTGACAATATCCTGAGAGCACCATACAGGATTATAATCTCAGCTATGACCTGGTATAATAGAGGAAGCAAAAACTTTTTTTGGACTGTTTCTAGTAGGCTATGTTAATTCTGGAACAATAAGAGCTTTATATATAGCAAATGAAATATTGATGCCTTTCCTAGCTAATCTCGGGATACAATCCTGGTCTGATGGCCAAAAGGTCTTGTTAGAAGTGATTCTTCTAGCATTTGGAGCAGGATCTGATACCTTCCCACTTCCACAGAAAGACGAAGCAGAGTGAATGGAAGAAACAGGGAACAAAAAGGGCTCTAACTACCGAACGAAAGAATGGTACCATTGTGGCTCCTTTAAGATACAATTCTCATTATTTCTAGTGGCATCTTATTTCCTGATCTCAGCTGCAAAATCAACAACCTTTAGATTCAAATATTTCAGTTGATTTTTCTGAAGTCTCAGTTCAGCATCTTAAAATGACCCAATTTCAGATTAAACAGTGGGGCTGACCTTGTAAGGATGATAATTTACTGTAAATTTCATTTTCTTTCTGTGTCCTGATCCTGTGTGGTGCTGGGTACCTCCTGCTCTCATTAGAGTCACTTTCACATTGATTTCACTCGTATTCAAAGCTTCTCAGCACCTTGCAGTTTCAGGCCCTTAGAGAAATATTAATTTCTAAAACCTCTACACTCCTTTTTAAATATCAGCCATGGCGTTTGACCTCCCAAGGGACAAAACTGCAAGAAACTAATAGAGTCACAGGGTCCTAATAAACTTGCTATGTGTAATCAGGTTGTGTAACATGCTGTTTGTGTATTATGCTAGGATTTTTAGAGTTATTACCTGGCTGTGCTTAGCACTCCTGGGGCTGAGTCTCTGTTCTCCTGCTCATATCTCCCTGCCTTCTTGGCTTGATCTGCCCCCTAACTTCTAATACTGTCAACTGGGCTGCATTATGACCCATCCAGCCATGAAAGTAACTCTTGAAATCTTGGGAGCATCATAATATGTGATGCACCTAATGTTCCGCTGAGGAATTATTGTGCTCTTGGGAGCATCATGTCATTTACCTTCACAAATAAATGTTTATGCCTGGAGAAGTAAAGCATGTGGCCCGTCATGCGATTGAACAGAAGTATCCATTTCTTTCCAGCAGCCTGTCATGGCCCTTATGACATCACAAGGGGCAGGGCGGCTGTGAGTGAGCATGCTTATTTGATCCTTGGGGGAAAAAACACAACAATACCCAAATGGCCACCCCCTCAACAAAAGGGATGGGCCACAGAAAACAAGGATCAACCAAACAATGGGGGACAAATAACAAAACCCAAAAGAAAACAAAAAACTCCAATCAGGAACAGGAGTGAGATCACTGGGTCAAAATAAAGGATCCAACGGGGACACCAGTCCAAGAATCCCAGATAGTGGTGCCCACTATTGCTTCAAGAGAGAATTGAGAGAGACAGTGGAGTCCACTCCGAACAAATTCTGTCCCAGTATGTGAATGGCGAAACGCTGGGAGATATGCTCCACAGTCACTGACAACACCCCCATCCAGCCTCCCACTGTGTTAGCGAGAATGATGTCAGAGAAGCATGTCTCATTATTTGTAGTAAACTGGCTGGAGGCAGAAATGGGTTGTGAATTCTGCAGCTCAGTGCTGTAATTTGTAATAATCTGTATTTCCATGTAAAATGGCACCACATCCAGTTGCTGTTAAAGACCCATTGATGTCTCAAGTTATTTTTTGAGATGATTCTGCTTTTCTGTGATACAGTTTGTTTATTTTTCCTTTCTCACTTTGTTATTAGGAGGGACATTGGCACACAGGATCTTCATCCTTAAAGAGTTCAGTGACTCGTGCTGCTTCTGTGACATCATAGTTTTTGCTATGAAAGTGATTGTCACGAGAAACAGAGGATTGAGATTTCAGAGGGAAAGTTTGGGCTAAAGGTCAGGGCTCCTGGGTGCTATCCCCCTGTATTTTATTAAATACAGAAAGTAGGATTTAAGTGGTTCCAAGAAGTAACAGACAGAACAAAGTGAATTACCAAGCAAAATAAAATAAAACCCCAAGTCTATGTCTAATAAAACTGAATACAGACAAAACCTCACCAGTTCCAGTAAGCTTCCTTTTACAGACTAATCTCCTTCTAGTCCGGGTGCAGCAATCACTCACACCCCTGTAGTTACTGTCCTTTGTTCTAGTTTCTTTCAGGTATCTTTGCGGGTGGAGAGGCTATCTCCTTAGTCAGCTGAAGACCAAATGGAGGGGTCTCCCACGGGCTTAAATAGACTCTGTCTTGTGAGTGGAGACCCCCTCGTCTCGCCTATGCACAGTCCAGCTCCAAGATGGAGTTCTGGAGTCACCAGGGCAAGTCACATGTCCATGCATGACTCAGTTTTTTCAGGCAGAAGCCATTGCCCACGTGGTATCTTGAATGTCTCTGGGAAGACTTCTTATGTAGATTGGAGCCTTCCAAGATGCGTTGTTCGTTAAGTGCTTCTTGATTGGGCACTTAACTTTGCAAATTCCTTTCTCCAGGAACTGACCAAATGCTCTACTAAGGTTATTTAGAAATCAAGCCAGTACATGGCCAATATTCATAACTTCAAATACAAAAATGATACATGCATACAAATAGGATTAATAGATTCAGTAGGTCATAACCTTTACATAGATATGTTACGTGACATCTACAGCATAGAACATATTCCAGTTATGTCGTATATCCATAAGCATATTTCCATAAAGCCTTATGGGGGGCACCATCACAGAGGTGACCATAAATCCCAACATGAAATGCTCCCTCGTGATTTGAATGGAAGGCAGTGCATTTTGGGATCTGTAGCCTGGGCAGGCTGCACATCTGTATTACGTATGAAGATAGCTGCAGTCTCTTTCATGTTTTGAAATTCTGCGCAGCCCTGGTAGGACAAAATCTAGGTGTCTTGGTTCTAATGGATGTTTGTCTTTATTTGCTGAAGGTTGGGTGGTACAATGCTGTTCTTCAGCCGTCCTTTCACCTCCAGTACTCCGAGGGCGCACTGGCATTCGTTGTCCTCAGCACCCCCTTGATGTTTGACAAAGCCTTTAAACCCTTTGTGAACAAACAGCTGCTGAAAAAAATCAATGACCCAGTGGATCAATGCGTTTCTTATCATCTGTCACTTGTGAAGGAGGTAAGAACCTTTGAAAACAGTGTCTTCTTGCTAATGAGAGTATGGCCTAGTGGCTAGAATGGGAGACTGGGAGTCAGAACTCTTGGGTTTATTTCTGTTTCTGGCTGTGTTTGTGACCTTGGGAAGTCACTTATCTTCTCTGCGCCTCAGTTTCTCAATCTGTAAAATGGCAATAATGATATTGACCTATTTTATGGGCAGAGAGTTTGTGACTGAGGGTTTTTTTTAAGTGCTTTGGGATCCTCAGATGAAAGATGGGAACTGCACAGTATTATTCATGCTGCCAGGCTCACGGTAAGAGTACCCAACAGGGTGTCAACTTCCTTTTCTCTCTTACGCAGCCTCTTTTATCGTTACATCCTTGTTGTGGGCATGGATTAAAAACACAAAGCTGTTGTTGGATGGGTTCACGGGTTGGGGTGATGGTGTTCACCAGGTCATACAGAAGGTCAACCTGGGTCTACCCCACCATAAGGAGAATGGACCTGAAGGAGTTGTGAGTGAAAGCGTCAAAAAGCTCAAGGCAGGAGTCAGACATCTGAGAGAGGAAGATATGGCTGACAACTGACACAAGCCTCAATCTGTGCTTTGGCAAAGGCTGCACCTCAGTGCTGGAGCTGAGTCGTGGGGCTGGATGTCCTTTTCCTTGTGGTACCGGAATCCAACAGGACATCTGGGGCCTGATCCAAAGCCCAGTGAAGTCATTGGAAGTCTTTCCAATGACCAGAGGCGGATTAAGGTTTCCTGGGGCCCTGGGCCAAAGGAAGTGGGTTCCCCTCCCGACCCCTTCCTCCTGCGGCCCCACCCACAGCCCCACCCTTTTCTGCTCCTTCCCCAGGGCCTGCCCCTGTTCCACCCTCCGCCACCTCCCCCAAACACAGGCCCCGTCTGTCCAGTGGCTAATCCACCACTGAATCTGCCACTGACTGCACTGAACTTTAGAACAGTCCCTTAGAGGAGATCGTCCTGCTGAACATATCCTGCAAGTATGTATATAAATAAATACCTCAGTAACTACAGAAGGGAGCTTGCTGACAGAGAGGTCCTCAGAGCCTTTATTTCTACTTCTATAACCACTGCAAACCTGGACTGAGACGCTGTAAATCCTCAAAACTGCATAGGAGTTTTTGGTATTGGTGATACCCCACATTATGACTTTAGAGATCATGGAGTGCCAGAAGATTTCAGGATGGAGACTTACAAAAAAAATTAAAACTTTCCCACTGAATATCTCCATTAATCCGACTGCATTGGCTATTCACCAGTATCTTTAAATGTAATTCAGTAATACAGTGCTGGAAGACTGCAAGACTCACTATGTAATCCTTGTGTCCCCTTAATCCTCCATTTCTGGGTGGCTAGCATCTCCCCTGCAGGAGCTGACTTCCTTTCAGGTGAGCCCAGGGATTTAGGTTGCAGTTCTTCCTGCAGTTCACTGTGATCACCTTAGCAAGTTTGACTTTAGTCCAGCACCTGCAGACCTGAGGGCAATGACAGTATTAATCAGTGACCAGCCAGCCTCAATAAAGCACAGTATTTGATCAGAACAAAAGCATTACTGAAAAAAAATATGATAGAACAAATGGCTTAACCCACATGCTTACCAGGTATCTCCACATAAGACCTTGGTGGATTTCAAAGTACTTAGTTTAAACCTTTCTGCAGGATCTGCCCTTTGTCACATGTCAGTTCTTGGACGTAGTCAGTGTGACCCCTCAGGTTGGTCACATCATACAATTCTCATTTCTTTGTTTTCTAGCTGCCTTCAATCAGTTAAACCAGGATATGCCATTCCCCGGGGGGTGGGGCCTCTCTAGATTTGTTTCCCTGTCCAAGGATTTGCATTAATTATCCTCCAGTGATTTGAGTTCCAGTAGGAAACGCCTGCAATTCCCCCAGCCCAGACAGGTACATCTTTATAAAGCTGATACAGTCTTTGAGTATTCTGATTCTATAGCTCAGTTCACAGGTTGATAGTTCATTTGTGATTATGTGATGTCCCTCCACTGCATTGCTTGTCCTGTTTTAAAGAAGACATTAATCCCATTGTGCTGGCAGGTTACAATACAAGGTCAGAGGGGAAACTGAGACATAGATATGTTTTCATAAAAACAAATCGGAAGTTTCCCAGTTCTTCAGTGTCCACTAGATGTACTGAGTTCTGTCTTGGGAAAGGAAGAGAGAAGGGACATGCCAAAAAACTCCCTTATAAAGGGAATGAAACTCATTAATAATGCACCTTTCACTGTAGGGTCAAGGCGCTTAGTATCTGGAAATGCAGGATCACTCAGAAGTCATATACAGAACAGCGTGTGATCCTGCAAGCCCATTGGTTAGAAAGGGGGAGTTCAGTAGCCAGGTGAGGGAGGGAGCGAGCTTCAAACCCATTCCACGAATTTCCAGTGTGCCTCTAGCCAACACTTTTCAGTCATTCTGAGCTGATACTTTTCTTCCTCCAGAGTCTTCCTGACCAGAGGGTGGACATCATCTATGATTATGAGATCCTGCCAAACCGGAAGCCCAAGTTTCTGGCCCAGACAGCTGCCCATGTGGCTGGAGCAGCATATTACTACCAGAGGAAGGATGTGAGGTGTGATCCCTGGGGAGAAAAGGTAAGCTATGAATCATAGCCCAAGAGTCCCTTGGGAGCACCTGAATGTAAAACTTTTGTTGACTCACTGATTCCTTCCTCAAGGAACTCATGAGGCATAAATGTGATAGTTATTTGAAGTGTGTCTGCCAAGGAGTCGGGAATTCTTTGGAGTGGTACAATGGGCATAACTAGGTGAAGAGCGATGAAATTGAGCAGAGGAAAATGGAGGCTAAATAGGAGGGGAAATGTCCTGATCAATGAGATTTATTACCTTCTAAGGGAAGAGGTGGAAGACCAATTGCCTGGGACATCTAAATCTAGCCTAGACAAAAGCAGAGGCAAATGTAGCATAGGAAAAATCCTGGCTGAGGATAGGCAAAATGTGCTAGAGAACCAAATAGGCCTTTTCTATGTCTCTGTGCCAAATCCTGCGATCCTTACTCAGGCAAAACTTGCGCTGTGTTCAATTTTTATTTTGGAATTTTAACAAGAGGCTCCCGAGATCCACCTTCCAGCACATCTATTTGGGGGTGTGAGGGAGAGGGGTGCGTGCACATGCAGGTGTGTGAACCAAGTAAAGGGAATCAAATGTAATAATGCTTCAGAGTATAAGGTTAGGAGGGAATTCCTCTTTCTTCTCATACAGTACAGCATCACTTGGCCATGTGCATTAGAGGTTCTCTCGAAGTCCCAGAGACTAGGCACTGCTTGAGACAAGGCCAACCCTTAGATCTAGAACAGCACGTCTCATACCATTTCCTTCTTTTTTTCAGAAGATCTATGGTGTTTGTATCCATCCCCGGTATGGAGGCTGGTTTGCTATCCGAGGTCTCCTCATATTCCCAGATGTTCAGGTGCCATTCCTGGAGCAGGTTGCTCCTGTGGATTGTGTGACCTCGGAGGAGAAGCGGATAGAGCTGCTGGAGAAATTCAATTTCCACTGGCGGGACTGGAGCTATAGGGACATCATTGAAGTGAAGGAACGGTACTCGGAGGAGCAGAAAGCCTACTTTGGAGCTCCTCCAGCAGAGAGATTCAAACTGCTAGAGCTGCAAGGAGTTCTCCAGAGAAGTACGTTTTACTGAGTAACACGGTTCCGAGTGTGGGGCAGGGAATGAACAGAGTGCAGCTCACAGAGGCCCTCATCCTCCATAGCAGTTATGAAGAAGTGCGTGACGGTTCAGAGTTGGAAGATCCCATGTGAATCAGTACTGGGTTTACAATGGCACCATGGTGCTGGGCCCCCGCTCAAAAGGGGCCCCGGCCTGGCACAGCCCGCTCCACGGGCACTGCGCCCGGAGTATCTGGCTCCTCTCTACATCTCCCCTCCCCCCAGCTTCTCCTCTTACCGCTCGCTCCTCTCAGCCAGCTGAGGGTTCCCCTCTGCCCCCGTCGCCAGCAGGCTGCCACCAGCAGAGCCAGGGGCAGAGAGGAGCCCTCAGCTGCTGCCGCTCTGGCTGGACCAGTGACCAACCGCTTCAGGCTCCGCGAGGCTGGGGCCCGCCTCTCCCTGCCACTCTGTGGTAGCGACAGGCGTGGGAAGTTGGAGGCTGCTTCTCCCCCCCGCCCATGCAAGGAAACGCCTCCTCCACCACAAGCACCATCAGTGCCAGGCTGGTAGGGTTGGGTGGGACCCCGGGGGACAGGGCCACTCTGTGCTCCTGAGCTTCAGTGGTCTTGCCCCCTTGCATTGTGCTGGGAGGGGAGGATCCCTGCTCTGCGCTGGCTCAACAGGGTCTTGGGGGCAGGGTGTGGAGGAGTGGGTCTGTGGGGGGGATACTGGGATGTGAGGGGGTGGGAGGTGCTAGGCAGTGGGGGAGTTTTGTGTATTTTGGGGTGCTAGGCAGTGGGGATCTGTTGGGGGTGTGTTGTGGTGGGGCTGTGGGGAAGGGTACTGGGCAGTGGGAGTGATGTGTGTGTTGGGGTGCTGGGCAGTTGTGGTAGGGCTGATGGCAGGGGGGTGCTGAGCAGAGGTGGTGTTCAGGATACTGTGCCTTTGTGTGTGTGAGGGTGCTGGGCATAGAGGGTCCAAGGGGTGCTGGGGGGGGGGCTGCATGGCGTTGCATGGACCCACCTCCACAGGGAAGGGGCACACTGGCAGCACACGGCTGGGAGGGCCAGTGTGCGTCTGGTGACTGCCAGTTTGTAAACAGTGCCCGAGCACTGTGCGGAGCAGGGCTGCCCCTGCCGTGCCATGCCCCATTGCCCCTGGCTCCAAGGACTGACCTCCCTTTGCCATGTTCCATTGTTCCCAGAAGGGCCCACAAATGTTTGGAGCTGGGCCCGTAAAAAGTTAATCTGGCCTGCATGCTCCATCTCAATCTAGAAGCCTGCCTCTTGGATCAAGATGGAGTATTGCACGCTGGGGTTTATGGTTTGGCCCCATCTTGTAGAGGAAGGTGGCTGCAGTCTGCTCCGTGTTAAAGCTAATTAGGAATGGATTCCTCTGGCTCCTGCTAAGTTACCATTTGCCCTTCAACTGGGCAAAGTTCAGGCGCCCGTGAGGCTGGGAAATCCAGGCTGCTCTTTAGAAGTACTGATTATTTGTGTTCTAATAGGACTTATTTTTTTAAAAAGCTTAGTTATTTTTATTCTATTTAATAATAAGGATTTACTGAATTGTCTACAATTGAATTGTGAAATGACTTGCTTCTTTGTATGACCTCAGAGGGCAGACTTTTTCAAACATCTCTAGCACCTTTTATTCTGTGATACACTCTCTCAGGAGAGTGAATGTTTTAAACGGCGCGGTCACTTTCAAATCTAGTCTTTTTCACTCAGACTAGGAAAAGGAGCTGGTTTAACTTGATTGGAAACCCCTCTTACTACCACCACCACCACCCTAAAATCACAAACAGACAAAACACTTAACACAGATGTGGACACAGTTCAACACATTTAGTTCAATTTTAGGATCCTGCTTCAGCTGTAACTTCACATGGTGAAATGATGCTAACGCAGTTGCACTGTATCTATGCAGGTGCAGAGTGGGCTTTTCAATCAAGTTAAGCTAGCTCGGTTAGGGGAAAAAAGCCAAACTTTTTTCTTCTGGTCCTAGACAATGCCTGAGTTGAAGGTTTTCAAGTACTTCCCTTGCCACAGCCACATTGTGTGTGTGTGGGGGGGGACTCAATACGAAAATGGGAAAGCTTCCTAATTGAATGAGTAGAGGGATAGCCTCAAAGCTGACCATACATGAAATGCTGCCAAATGTAAACAGGCTGAAAAAAGAGAGAGACTTTGATTTTCTCTGATCTGCTAGTGATCATAGGTGTTACTTACATCACTGGGTAAGATATCTTCAGATGGACTGTGTCTTTTTACATTCACTGAGCTCAAAGGAACACTGGAAGTCAGTGATTCATTTATTTAGAAGCTGTTTGTGAGGTCAGAACCTTGTATAATAAGATGACAATTAATGGTGCAATTTGAAAGACTGCTTACTACTTGGGCTCAATCCTGCAAGGTGCTGAGCACCTTCTCTTTTTCTTGACATCAGCAGGAATGTGGAGGGTGCTCTGCACCTTGTTTGTAATTTGTGTTACAGTTCTGCATTGTTTGTTGTTTGGTACCCGGACCCTAAGCTGTCCTTCAGTAAAAGACTTTGCCATAGATCAAAATGAGTTTTGCTCTAAATAGAGCAGTCAGTGTGCTCACAAGCTGGGTTGCCTGGTTCAAAAAAATCCTCTGTCTTTGCAGCTCATCCTGCTTCTTTGTTACTCTTTTTCCTGAGACCCTCCCCCCGCCAGGTCATACACAGCTGATATTATTTAATGTATTCTGTCAGGGTCTGTGCTCAGCCTAGGTCCTCTCACAGCAGGGCTACAAGCTTCAGTGCCTTTCTGCCCTTCTTCACACAGCCTGGCAGAGTTGGAGCATTCCAGTTCCCAACAGCAAACTATGGGGTTGGGAGACAGGGATTCCCAAATTCTAATCCTAGCTCTGCCATCAGCTCCTCTGCACACCTTCAGACTTTACCTTCTTGTGCCTGAATTCCCCAGCTATAAATTTCGGAAATATCCCAAGCCCTTCCAAAGGTGAGTGATAATCTTCACCAGCGAAGATTAGCGCTAGTTGTTGAAATGGTGCTAACCTTATTTCAAGGTAACATTTGATACAGTAATATACTGAGGCACATAGCTTAGCAGTGCCTTTACGAGGATACTGTTATGATAATTTGCTTTATGGGCTTTTATTACAACACTAATTTCTATGAAGTTTATAGGCAAGATTGGAATTGCACGTAACAAGTTCTTAGGCAGTTTTTTGCATACTCAGCTTAGGCTGAGATTGCGTAAACTATCGTTTGCCTTGTCTTCTGCCTTGGACCCTTCATTACTTTAGCTTTCTACAAGAAAAACAAGGACTGTAGTTGATTGTTACAAAGTAATTGTGGATATACTTTCTGGTGAGCTTCAGAAAACACTAGAAGCAGCTTGGAATCATTCTGCATATTTGGGGTTATTGTTATATTAATATATTTGCATATGTCAGAGAACAATTTGGCTATGACTAATCATTGTGTGGTTGTGGGATTATGAATATTTAAATTCTAAATTTCTGACTTCAGAATTACTTATGGTTGAACTGTTACATTTTATTTGTTGATAGGAATACAACTGACTTGGAATAGAATAATGGCTCATATTAAAGGAACCACATTAGTATGCAGACCATCCTCCCAGAATAATATAGAATGGAATTAGATACCACTTTGTGATCAAACTTTGGTTTATTGTTTGAGTTGTTACCCGTTTGCCCATGTTGAACTCTTTGTGTTGAAATTAATTCAATAAATAGTAATGCTGCTATATTCATCGGTATTTTACTTTTTAAACTTATTTACCTCTATATTTTATTTTGGTTAATGAAACTTAGAAATGTCTAAATAGTCGTGAGTACTGAGTGTACTTTTGCGTAAGCAACATGATACTCACTGAATTTGTTGGGGAGCTTGAGATGCTTAACCAAGAACTAACCTTTGTGTTTTTGACACTCTGAAAATATTTACACCCCTTAGACGCAGAAGCAAACCGTTTCTGAATGTGAGAGAAAGTAGGAGTTGGGATGCAGGCAAGGTATGACAACAGGCACAGTCAGAGTTTTTTAAAAAAACAAAGTTTGTTCGGGGTATGGCGAGGTGGAGTGGCCTCCCTCTGAACCTGAGGGAGCACTACACTCCCCTGGTGGGCAGAGCCAGCCCAGCCCCACCTCCCATCAGAAGCAAAGGGGCATGACAGGAACTATAAAAGGCGGGCCCTGCGGCTCTGTTGGGCTGGAGCCACCGGAGGAGGCAAATGCCTCCTGCCCACTGCTGGAGCTGGAGCCTGAGGAGGACCCCTGCTGCGCTGAGGACCTACATGAGCTGCCAGAGCCACCAGGTGACCAGGGCACTGAAGAGCTCCCAGGACTGCCAATAGCAGAGTACCCCATGGAGATGGAAGATGATCCCGAGCCACAAATACACCACAAGGGGAGAGTAGGAAGGTGCCCAGGGACACCAGACTGTAGTTTTGTTGTGTTGTTGCCTGAACCCCAATCAATGTTTTGGACGGATCCCCACTGGTCCAGTGGGGCAGAATACACCGTCACTGTTGGGGTCCTGGGCTGGGACCTGGTGGAGTAGGGTGGACCCTGGTCCCCCTGCTCCCCCCCCCCAGCTGGTGGCTACCTCCCCCCACCTTAGGCCAAGAGGCCTGCGTTTGTCTGCCATCTGCCTGATTTAAGACGACAGGCGAGAGACTGTTTGGTGCTCCACCCTGCCTGAGGGCCTGAGCCCTGTGGACTGTTTGTTTGCTGGCTGCCTTAGCCGGGAGGCCTAGGCAAAAGCCTGCTCCGCGCTCTGCCTGCCAGAGGGCCAGAGCCGTAGACTGTTTGTTTGCCAGACACAGTGACACAGAGTGGCCTCCCTCTGAACTTGAGCCTGAGGGACCACTACAAGGGCTAAATCTACTTTATTTGTGAGTACCTTACCAGATCACTTGTATAACAAGAAACTAAAATGTCAGTGAGTACCACAGGAGGATTTAATTTTTTTTGGTCCTGTAATAATTTAGAGTTGTTAATAATCCATGAAAGCCTCTAGTAAGTACCCAGCAAGATATCATCGATAGTTGGTAACTTTTCTTCAGTAGCTCAGCTGTAATGCTGGAGTCCTGCAGATCTGATCAATAATTATTGGAATTCTAATTTGCTGAAGCTATTCCTGTTCATCTTTGTTATATTTGTCCTGATGCTTTGATTACAGCATAGGAATAAATCCTTAGAAGTGCTGAGCACCTAGAACTCCCTTTGATTTAAGTAGGATTGGTAAATGCTCTCCATCTTTCAGGAATTGTCCCTTCAATGTTGAGCGTATCAAAAATCTGACTAGGAGAGCTGCATCAGAGTGCATGCTCCTTGTGCTTGTGGCACTCATCCAATTCCATGGAGCTCTAGAGGAGAGTGACAGCTCTGTAATCATGAATTACTCAGTCCAACTCTGGATGACTTCAAAGGGAATTGGATTGTATCTTTTATGCCTTTTAGTAACCAATTTATGGAGCATCACTGTTGTAGGTGGTCACTTTCCCTTCCTGCTAGATGGGGGTACAACACCAAGACAGTCTTACAGAAGTAAATAAAAGTTCAATATATATATATATATATAGGGGATTAAAGGGAACCCCACTGTGAAACTTTAAGACCTGTAGGGCAGAGTCTGACCTGTTGGGGCAAGGTGAGGAATGAATCATTCTTGGACACCACCATGAAAATGTAGTTAGCTGATTTCAAATGTCAAATTTAATGGAAGCACTTAAAATTCAGTAATGAAAAACACCAAGCCTAGCTGTTCAGTTGTATTTTGTAGATAAATTTATTTTTTCATAACACCTTTTATTTATAAATGTTCATAAAATAAGTTACTTTTTCCCTTTAAAAACAGTCTGAGTATATTAGAATTGGAGACTGAAAAGATTTAAAAACAGCTGCTTGAACTAAATTCCTTCTTCAGTTTGAAAATAAAAATCTCTTCAGTATATTTCAAGCAACCAAAATACTTCTTGTGGGCTTAACTGAATTCAAAGTACTTGCACATGCATAAATTCCTTATTTATTCTTCTTTTTCTTTGATATCTTCCTTTTTCTTGTAGCTTCATCATTGACCGTTGTGGCGGTTTAATGATGAGACAGAACACAGCTTTTTGCAAGCAGGCAGGCTGGTCAGCTGAGATGGGCGTTCTCTGCCCCCCCGCCTTCCACCTTCTCCTTTTATTATATTTCTCCCCCTAAGCATTACACACTGTTACACAAAGGAATGTGTGACGTTAATTCATATACTTAGTTACCATCCCCTATCTACTACAATCCTGGTTCTCAGGCCTTGAGCCCAGGCTAAGAAAGCCTCCCACAATTGCTGTCCAAACAATCAAGTTCTCATGGTTCATATCTAGCCCTTGTCCTTGGATAGAGCAATGTGTGCATTGCTTCTACGAAACAGTCAGGGTGTGCCCCGCCTGCTTCCAGGTGGACTAGCTAAACATTAACCCTTCAGACCATAAAGGGAAAAAATGTGGGTTTTTATATAAGAATTGAATAAATGGTGACAACTATTGATTAGACAGGTGCCTGTTATAAGATGAACACCAAAAAGTATGGAAGAAGATAACTGAGGGCCTAGTCTTTCTCCCACTGAAGTCAACCAGAGTTTTGCCACTAACTTCAGCTGTGGAAGAGTAGGCACTTATTTTATGGATTTCGACCAGGGGGCTGGAGATTTCCTGGAGGATTCCCTATTTTCCACTTTCTTACTCCTCCTTGTTGCAGCAACGCTCTCTCTGAATGAAAATGACTGTATACCATCAGTGCCACTGTGCGTGTGAGCCAGAAGTGTTCACTTGAGGCAATCGCTGCCTGTAGGGGCTGAGCACTCTCTTTCTACAGTGCTGGACCAAGGGATCGTGGGACCAGAGTCTGGATCCACATGGTAGTTTGACTGGCTTCTCACCCTTTGTCAGAAGCGTAATTTTTATTGTATACAATATTGTATAAGTGGACTCCTCATTATGGTGGCCAGAAACTTTGGTGACTATTAAACATGGGCTAAATCCTGGAAAACGTTCACTGACTTCAAAGGAAGTTTGAGCAAACACTGAATGAGGAGTTCTGTGTTTGGTTATTAACAGATTTCCCGGCACTTATGAGTACTTTATTTGTCCAGCCCCATGCAAAGAGTAGCATTAAGAATAATGAGACTGACAGTTGACTTTACAGACTGTGGTTCCAAATCTGCTTACTTTTAAATGACAGGGAGTTCTGCCATTAACTTCAGTGAAAGCCAGCCCTAATACTGCAGCCTTTACTCTCTCTCAAATAGTCCTGCTGAAGTCATACTGAGTTCTTACATGATGGGGCTTTGCAGGAGCCAGTCCTTTAAAGTGTGCTGAAATTTTACAGCATGAAGAAATTTTCTATATATATTTAAAATAACAACCCAAAAGAATAGATACGCTTTTAGCACAAGATGGCAGGACTGAGTGTTTTTTCCAAGTGGGAGACCCAAATACAGGCGGGGCAGCAGGAATCCAGCTTTGCCCAACAGCGAAGCTTGCATATTATCACACACAGAAAGAGCTTCTAGAAGGGCATGGAGTTTACTGCTACATGGGAACAGCAGAAAACCCTCTTTAGGGGATCTGGTAAGTACATTGATTTCAGTTGTCTTCAATTTTACCACCTAATCCTAACTTGCTTAAATTCAAAAAGCATGTATTCACTTGAAAGATTTATGATTTATAGAAGTAAATTTTCAAAGGCACAGAAGTTACATGCACAAATCATGTAATTTTTTAATGATAATTTTGTGTACAACTTCCATGCTCAGTTGTTAAAGATTTCATGAAGGAATCACTTTAAGAAACGTCTGTGGAGACCAGCATAATCTATTTCCATTCTCAGCATTGTGATTTTTGACTGGGGCTGGAGCCATGCGTGGAAAAACTTGGGAATTTCAGTCCAGTTTGAGGGAAAATTTCCCCTGATTGGCTGCCTTGTCCACTTTTCAGCCTCTGGGGAAGAGCCTCCAATCAGAACTGTTACAAGAAGCAACCAGGAACTTTTTGAGGAGTGGAGAGGGAGCTGGCAACACCACTCTTATAGGAGGGAGTGGGGAGCAGACAGACCCCAGCAACTCAGGGAGGCCTGGCTCTCTGGGCCTCCTTCCCTGCTGTGAACAATAGATCAGTCTGTTCTCTGCTCTACCCCCTCCTCTCTTCATCCCTGCCACACCAAGCTTGAGAAGGGGATGAAGAGCCTCTGGAGCTGCCCCCCTTCCAGGCCTGGGAAGAGAACACTGCTGCAGCTGCTTCCCCAGGTCCAGGAGAAGGGAGGTGAAGAACCTCTGTAGCAGCAGGAGGAGCAGAGGTGGGGGTAAGGGGCAGACAGATACGGGAACTGGAGAGACAGGATTCATGGATGGGTTGGCAGGGGGCAGAATTAATTGCTGGGCTGGTGTAGGGGATGGGCAGATGTGGGAGTAGACAGATTAATTATAACGTTGGACTTTGGTGTGGAGCTTCCAGCTTCTTACCATCAGGTAGCCAGCAAGAGCTCCTGTAGCTGGGGTTCAAAATCACCTAACTCAATAAATCTGGGAGAACTGGCACCACTAATGGTCTCCCGCACCTTGTGGGTGGACAGGCTGTGTTCAAAATCAAAAGGCAGCTGAAAACCGCACCATAACCTTTTTCTAAATGTCCCTATTTGGGGGCAATCTCATGATTTTTTTGGTATCTTACCCATGATTTTTGAACTTGTGGCACAGGCAGTACTGCATACAGAACATTTGGAACTGAAAGTTACAACACAACTTTACTACAAAAGCTAACATAGTCTTAGGGTTAGATCCTTGCTCCCACTCCAGCCCCTTTACATTGGGGAAAAGGGCCAGGGTGGTATAAAGGGCTCTATAAAAGCCTTGGATCCAGCGGAGGGAGGATTGCCCAAGTACTGGAACTGTGGAAGGCAGCTAAAAGGCTGACTTCTGGACAATCCAGCAGCTGGGCTAGGGACAGGGCTGGAGCAGGAGGGAGCACTAAGGAGATTCTAGGAAGGCCTTCTACCCATGTGTCATGGGGTATGGTTGATGCCCCAGCCTCTAACCAGTCTCTGGGGAGTGACCCCTTTAGTGGGCCAGGAGTGGACCCAAGGACCCACACAGTTCCAGAAGGGCAGGCCCGTGACCTCCATGACTCCTGAGACTGGTCCTTTAGCACCAGTGATCTTTGTGTCTTTCTGTGGCTCCCTGCAGCAAATCCAGCCAAGCCAGAATCCTGCAGGAGCTTGCACTGTGTCCCTTCAGGACACGATGCTCTCAGTTAATAGCCTTGATGATATAACATCAATGATAGAAATGTAGTTAAAACAGAATACAAACATCAGACAAATAGGATTATTCTGCTCAGTTTTTACTATACAACTAATTTCACAATGACTAGAAAACAGTAAAGGCTCAATTCTATGCTGGTACCCAAGGGAAGAGAGGGGCCAAGCAGTCAAACTATATGACAGCTCAAGTCTCACTAATCCTCGCAGTGGCCTCTGATATACATGGCCATGGGAAATCTTGCCAGGAAAATTGTAGGCTTGTATACACAACACCCCATGATTGCATGCCCATAATGAGTGAAGTTTCAATGACAAGAGTCAGGTTTGGCCGAAAGTCCAGTCCAGTGAGAGAGTACCCTATTCAGGTATAAGCCAGCACTGCTTACTATGCATACACTGGGCCTTTAAGAAGTAGCAGCAAAGCACACCTTACAGCATAATGAGCAAGTCCCATGTTGACAACCCATTCTTTTGCAGCTGGATAACTATGCTATTATGACTAGGTACTTTATAGCACATTTGATTACACAGAGTGTTTGTGCTTTGGCTTGTATGGGGCCAGGATTTGGCTCTAAATAGACTATGAACATACCTTGTGGCATTTATCAACAAATTCCTCTTCAGATCCTGGTGGTTCATATTCTAAAAAAGACATTTATAAAAATACATTTATCTTTTACTCCAGTGAGATTTTATTCTACTTTGTACACTAAAAGTTCTGCTATTTAGAAAAAAGAAAAGGAGTACTAGTGGCACCTCAGAGACTAACCAATTTATTTGAGCATTTATTTGCTCAAATAAATTGGTTTGTCTCTAAGGTGCCACTAGTACTCCTTTTCTTTTTGCGAATACAGACTAACACGGCTGCTACTCTGAAACCTGCTATTTAGAAGAATTTTTTTTAAATTATTTGTATGTGTTTATATTCATGGACATTATGCTCATCACTAGTACATCAGCACTTTTAAACTATTTTTATATTGCTACCTTGAGTCCTGTGACGTAGGTAGGTATATTATCCCCATTTTACATCTGGATAAACTCAGACACAGAGAGGTAAAATTATTAAGATCACATATGAAGTTTGTGGCAGAACAAGAAACAGAAATCACGTCTCCTGACTCCCAATCCTATGCCCTAGACACAAGACTTTTTTTTCCTATGTGAAATGCTCTGATATTAAAAATAAATATTGAATTTAGCAAGTTCTTTCAATCAAGAAGCTTTCACCAGGAATTTTCTAAACCGGCAAATGGAATGATATATAATTTGTTATGGTGATCTAGTGGTTGAAAGGTCTTTATTTTTGATTCTGCATCAGTTTTAAGATAATCTTTTTTTTCTATATTTAAAAATGACATCTTCATTATCAACAAGACAGCAGTTCTTTATTACACCATAATTATGATTTCTTGGTTTAATATTCAGATTGTGCTTCCCTTTGGACTACATATATTAAAATATCCAGAATACAGGTGCCATGAATTTTTGAGTGGGGAAAGATAGGAAAAAGTGGTCTTAACGCAACTTCTCCATTGGTGCTGAAGCATCTCATGGCGATCTCTAACAACCCACTCTGTGCAACTGTGTATGAGTTTGGCCTGTTACTTCACACAATTACCACCACTCCTGTTTCTCCTTCATATGGGTGCTCCATCCACTGTAAATATGATAAAACTGTGTCCAGCAAGGACTCGGTTGTAATGATGGATTTACATTTTCAGTAGCTTGTGTATATGATGTTTACATGACCATCGGTCACAGCCCTAAAGGTAAAGTAAATGGTGCCAAAAATTACATATGGTTCTATTCTGCTCCCATTGAAATAAACAGCAAAACTCTCATTGGCTTCAAAGGCACAAGTGCAGGCTTTAAATCTGTATATCCGCTAAAAACTAGTGTAATCTTAAAATAAGAGAGAAAGAAGAAATGCCTTTTTAAAATGTAAAATAAACACCATTACAAATCTCGACCTGTACATTCAAATGTAACACAGATAAAAAACATAATAAATAAATGCATTGTGCAAAATGTAAATACATGTATTTAGATCTAAACAAAGAACATGGAGCCTACCTGTATTAATGTATTCTCCTAAAGGATCCAGCCTCTTCAAAGGAAACAAATACAAAGAGACTTTTATTAAAATGCAATATTTGACATGAACCAGGATTAAAACAGATATCACCATACCTTGTAATTTGAAACATATTATACATGGTATGAGCCTAAGAAGTCCAACAGGAGGTGACATCACTATATTGAGAGTATGAAACCCACTTAGCTGAAGTGGGGGAGGGGAAAGCAATTTAAAACTGTTTTTTTATTTGTACTTGCTAATACCTATTTAACTCAAATACCTTATAAATGTTTGAGAGAAAAAATCTGTGTATTTAAATTAAGCATCCCTGCCCCTTCAGTTAAGAGCTGAGAAAGCTCACAATACATGGCTGAGACCTCAGAGTAGTCCTCCAACAAAAACAAAAAAGATAAGGCTTGACATTTCTGAGGTTAGAAACACAACAAACCTTTTTTAAATGCGTAAAAAAATTCTGGCTTTCTTTACACATCATAAAGAAAAAAAGGCACAAATTATATAATCAAAGGTTTTTATGCAGATTTAGAAGTTGGATTGTAATGTATTTGTAACAAGTAATGAGCCAGAAATGTTGATTTAAAAGTACAGGTGAAAAATGGCATTAAAGGTAAAACAATGAAGTAGTTTAAACTTTTAAGGTAAATAACTCTGTATGCGGTATCTAATTATTTATATTACCCTCATCATTGTGCTTATCAGGCTAGTCTACTTATATAATGGACACAAAATCCTCTAGGAGACTCAAGGCCATATTCTCTTTTGAATTAAGGCCTCTTCATGCTACTCTGGCAGTGTGAACAGGCCTCAAAGTAGGGGTAAATCTTTACACTGCCAGAGTGCTGTAAAGGGGCCTTAATGTAAACAGGAATCTGGCCTATAGTTGTGATGTGCAGTACTGGCTGTTGTGTACTATTTATCTACCTAGGGTTGTCAACTTTCTAGCTGCACAAAACCAAACACCCTTACCCTGCCCCAAGGCCCCACCCCTTCTCTGAGGCCCTGCCTCCACCCACTCCAGCCCCCCTCCCTCTGTCGCTCACTCTCCCCCATCCTCACTCACTTTCACTGGGCTGGGGTAGGGGATGAGGGCTCCAGCTGGGGTGTGGGCTCTTGGGTGGGACTGGGGTGCAGGAGGAGGCTCAGGGCTGGGGTAGGGGTAGGGGGTTGGTATGCGGGGGGGTAGGAGGGGTTGGGCACTGGGAGGGAGTTTGGGTTCCTACCTGGGGCATGGGGTTGGGGTATGGATGGGGGTGTGCGATCTGGGAGGGAGCTAGGGTGAGGGAGGGGGTTCCGACCTGGGGCAGGGGATTCGGGGTGTGGGGTCCAGCCGGAGGGCACTTACCTCAGGCGGCTCCCAGTTGGTGGGGCAGCGGGGCTAAGGCAGGCTCCCTGCCTGCCCGCCCTGTCTCCACGCTGCTCCTGGAAGCAGCCGGCAGATCCAGCTTTTAGGCGCAGGGGCCAGGCGATTCTGCGCAGTGCACACTACCCACACTCGCAGGCGCTGCCCCCCAGTTCCCATTGGCCACAGCTCCCGGCCACTGGAGCTGCAGACCCAGTGTTGCGGGTAGGGTCAGCACACAGAGCTTCCCTGATTGTCCCTGCACCCAGGGACCAGACATGCCAGCTGCTTCTGGGAGCTGCGCGGAGTCAGGGCAGGCAGGGAGCCTGCCTTAGCCCTGCTGCGCCACCGACTGGACTTTTAACAGCCCGGTCAGCGGTACTGACTGGAGCCATGGCACAAGGGTCCCTTTTCGACTGGTGTTCCAGTCAAAAACCGGATGCCTGGCAACCCTATATCTACCACAGCATCCAGGGAAGAAAATCAAACTGTTTCATATTGATGATCATGCCTTCTGTTAGCTGCTTTCCAGAATATATGCATTAAAACACTATGCTACACTGGCAAGCATAGTCTCTTTTTTATTAACAATAATACATAGGAAAAACAGTAGTAATATTTTCTGTGGTTATTATCCCATGACAGATCAATTGATAATTAAGTTTATAATAATTGTACTGTTAGTGGGCTAGAGGAAACAGCTTTTCATGAGCAATTCTATTTATTTTAGAAAATTTTTAAGAAAATGGGATCTTGGAAAAAAATTTACTCAGCCACACCTTGAAAAAGATTCTTTGCCTTATAATTTTTGTGGATGCACATATGAAATATAGTGATGATAAAAAGGAACATGCATTTTTGCTAGATATTTGTACCTGTTCCTTTTCTCTCTCTGCATCTTCTCTACATTCTTTCAGGATACCATGTATATCCATTGAATCTATCCTCTCCTCCTTTTTAATAATCTTCAGCTTTAACATATGGAAAGATGTTTCTATTTCTCCCACCTTCACAAGCACAGGTATGCCTTCGAATAAGATAAACTCTGACTCTCCCTCTCTAAAGCCAGGAGGCTGGTATTCTGGAGGGGTCACTATTAAAAACAAACACACACCCGAGAGAATCCTCTTGCTCATAAATGCACTACACTAATAATCATTCATCATGATTATTAATAGTAGTAATAGTAGCTCATTTCTAAACATGTGGGGAATTCTATTTGTGTGAACAGTGCTTAATTCCTTTAAACAGGAAACAGGTACATATTTAAAAAAGACCTATGATTTTCAAATATTTACAATTTAGTTGTCATTTTATTCTGGCATTATGGAGACTGATCAGATGTTTACTTTAAGTACATGTTAAGTGACTAAGAACAAAATGTGGAGTATGAAGATCTATGATGATAAAAATTGAAGGTCATTCCCATGCCTGAAGACTCACTCTCTGATACCTAAAGGAAAATTTAAAACTAATTTTATTAGAGACAGTTCTGCTTTTCATAACATACTTATTTATTTGTAATACAGTAGTGCCTAGAGGCCCCAGTTGGAATTGGCATATCCTTCTGCTGGCACTGTGCAAACACAGAAAGAGCTGGTCCCTACATGGAAGTATTGTATTTGTACTTTAATTGAATTGTCTCGTTAGCACTGACCCCCCACATGCTAAGGCAACTCCCATCTTTTCATGTACTGTGTGTATATACCTGCCTACTGTTTTTTTCCCACTCCATGCATCTGATGAAGTGGGTTTTCGCCCACGAAAGCTTATGCCCAAATAAATGTGTTAGTTTCTAAGGTGCTACAAGTACTCCTTGTTGTTTTTATATTGACAATATAAATACACAAGAGACAAAAGGTGGGAGAAAGCGATGTAAGATATAGGCAAAGTGATAACTGGTATATATCATATTAATTTTACTTTATTTTTTGTCTTTTTTTCCTCTTTGTGTAAAATGTATGTGTTCCATTCTATTCAGATTTTTTTGTTTGTTTAAATAAAGTTTTACAAATAAATCCCAATACTTGCCATCTGCATAATAAAATAGCTTCATAGTGAGAGAGACATCATAAGGAAGAGAAACAATATTTTCCATCAGAAAATAGAGGTTATGAATTAGAAGAAGACAGGTCCTCTTTATGTCTTCTGTTGTATCATTTGTTACATTAGTTTTCTTATTGCTAAGGGAAAAATAAGTAAGGAGTTGTAAGGATTTATCTGACATTTAAAATTCTTTATATACAGGTTAAAGTAAAACATTCTAGAATACAGATACATATTTTATCATACAGAAGATCACTATTTGCAAGAAGTAAGTCAGGTGTTTCAGTCTTTCTTGAACTGGTGAAATCAAAATATTTGTCACTTGCAATAACTTTAGAAGGGAGAACTAAGTAAATTTACAGTGTATGCTGTAGGTAAGCAGTATGGCATATTGGTATTATTCTAACATTTTTGCTCAAACCTTTCTTACAAATCACTTTAAAAAATACATTCAAATTGTGTGCATAAATGCTGCTGAATAAAGCACAGATTAATTGTTCAGTGAATCACATCTTAAGATCTTATTTTCCTTTTTTAATGTTTTGTTTGTCTTTCATAGAATTAATTCTGTAGCTATTCACCTGAATACATCCATCTGTGGTCCCTTTGATGTATATCTCAATTTAAATTGATAAGATTCTATCATGTCCTAAATATGAACAAAAATACGAAATATACTAATTACAAAAGGGAGACTTGATTCCTTCATAGTAGTGTCAGTTATGATCAAGGAGCATTTACTAACCCTTATAGGGTACCTTTAGTGTAATGTAAAACTTGAGCAGCAGTCAACAGGTTTATATTTCTAATTTCAAACATTAAAAATTTAAATTGGTTGAACAGAACTTTTTACCGTCTAGACTTTTTAAAAATAAATGTAAAAATAAAATAAGATTACTTTATTTCATAGAAAATTCTTGATTTATAAAACTGGCTGCATAAGCAAATTGATGGGGATCACTGAATATTTCAAAGTAAATGGTTGAAGCTATGTTACTTGAGACATTTAAAAATTTACTGGCCAAAGATCTAAAAAATATACTGAAGGACACAATCCTGCATTGGCGGGTAGATGGACAAGATGACCATGTATTTTTCCCCCATCACTACAACCTTAACTACACTAGTTAGCACTAATATAATCCATTTGTATTGTATTCTTAGTGTAAGTAACATGTCACTATCGTTTTACTGTTATTTGACTAGATTTATATATTCGTAGAGCCTTACATTTGGGTTAGCTGCATCCTTCTGTACCTGCAGTACATTAAGAAGATACAGCATTTTAAGGAGGGGGGGAGGACAAAAACACATTTTTATTATTCATTTTTATTTAATTTTAATATTTAATCATAATTTTGTTGATACTGCTATAAAAATCAATAAAATATATACATATACTTTTGTGAGTCTCCAGAAGCTCTGCTGTGTTGAAAAATTAATTAATCTAAGTGCTTTGTGCATGTGGTGCTAATCTTTCAAGCATAGAAATTCTGATCTGGTAGCACAGCACGCCTTTAAATTAGCATCTATTCTTTGATCCAGTCTCCACTTTGTAGAAAAACCTCTAACCTGAGGTCAGGAAAACTTAATAGATTGCTCCCATAAAGACCATGGCACAAAGCTGTACATAGCAGACTTTTTTAATTGGTACATCTTGGAGGAAATAGAAGCATGCCAATAACGTGATTATGATTGGCTCGAATACATTGTGCTAGCAGGTTCTCACTTTTATTTCATACATTGCATAAATGACTATATTAAGCTGAAAGCAACTTATTTTGCAGCCATAGTAGAGGAGGCGAAAAGTCTGATGTCAAGAAAGAGCCACATAATGGAAAAATTTGTTAAAGCACAGTAGTTTTCACATTTCTTCCCCTGCCCCCCCCCGCCTCCACATTCTAATTTCACGCCATTCCTGTTGTTACTGTAATGCCTAGTTACATTAAAAAACAGGATAATCAGCTAAAAGAGGTAATTATACTATTACAGATAATTTTATATTATACAACTGTATAGATTTTAAACTTCCCTTTGACAAGTTCTTCAAGAGATTTTGCAGTAAAAAACAGTAATAGAGAAAGTGAAAATCATACTTTGAGTCTTTACATAACAAAAACCAAACAGGGTCTCTCCTTTCTAACATGATAGAAACCTGTTAAACAGATAGAACCTGATCCTGCACCCACTAAAATAAACAGGAGAGGAATATTGCCTCAGACTAGTACTATTTTAAGTGGATTCCCTTTATAGGTTTTCACCTAAGTGAACTGTTGTTTTATGAACTATATTTTTGTTTAATACGTTGAAACTGGATTTAGAGAAATTAGAAGAGTAACAGAAACATCTAGCTGCAATATTTTTCGACTGTTGCTTCCTGAGCCAAATTAAAAAGCAAAGTTAAACTTTTACAATAAAAGCACAAACTATATAAAACAATTAGCAAGGAAGTTACAAATAAAATCATATAACATGCTGTAGACACATATATATACTTACTCCAAGAATCATCATTTGCAGCTATTAAGAAAATAAAAGAAAATGGAACGTTAAAGGGAACTACACAGTTTTTAAATGTAATTAGATATAAAGAACTAAGGTAGGTGGGGCACAATATTAAGACATTTGTTTACAAGAGAAAGGTATTAAAGAAAGTTATGCTTGGTCCACAGTGTGGGTAAAAAAGCAGTGTCTATGTGGCATTTGGGGTTTCTTTAAAGGTTTGTATGGGGGTTATTTAGACTTGTAAACTGTCCCTCACTGTCTATACTATATGAGTTGCACTGTATGTAACAGATCAGTATGACTGCTCAGAGCTCAAGTATGAAACTGCAGAAAAACCTGAGAGTCTCCGGATTAAGTTTAGAAGTGTGAGCAACAAGGGTGATGTCGTGGTGGGAGTCTACTATAGACCAACAGACCAGGGGGATGAGGTGGACGAGGCTTTCTTCCGGCAACTCGCAGAAGTTACTAGATCGCATGCCCTGGTTCTCATGGGAGACTTCAATCACCCTGATATCTGCTGGGAGAGCAATACAGCGGTGCACAGACAATCCAGGAAGTTTTTGGAAAATGTAGGGGACAATTTCCTGGTGCAAGTGCTGGAGGAACCAACTAGGGGCAGAGCTCTTCTTGACCTGCGGCTCACAAACCGGGAAGAATTAGTAGGGGAAGCTAACGTGGATGGGAACCTGGGAGGCAGTGACCATGAGATGATTGAGTTCAGGATCCTGACACAAGGAAGAAAGGAAAGCAGCAGAATACGGACCCTGGACTTCAGAAAAGCAGACTTTGACTCCCTCAGAGAACTGATGGGCAAGATCCCCTGGGAGAATAACATGAGGGGGAAAGGAGTCCAGGAGAGCTGGCTGTATTTTAAAGAATCCTTATTGAAGTTACAGGGACAAACCATCCCGATGTGTAGAAAGAATAGTAAATATGGCAGGCGACCAGCTTGGCTTAACAGTGAAATCCTTGCTGATCTTAAATACAAAAAAGAAGCTTACAAGAAGTGGAAGATTGGACAAATGACCAGGGATGAATATAAAACTATTGCTCGGGCATGCAGGAGTGAAATCAGGAAGGCCAAATCACACCTGGAGTTGCAACTAGCAAGAGATGTTAAGAGTAACAAGAAGGGTTTCTTCAGGTATGTTAGCAACAAGAAGAAAGTCAAGGAAAGTGTGGGCCCCTTACTGAATGAGGGAGGCAACCTAGTGACAGAGGATGTGGAAAAAGCTAATGTACTCAATCCTTTTTTTGCCTCTGTCTTCACAAACAAGGTCAGCTCCCAGACTACTGCACTGGGCAGCACAGCATGGGGAGGAGGTGACCAGCCCTCCGTGGAGAAAGAACTGGTTCAGGACTAGTTAGAAAAGCTGGATGTGCATAAGTCCATGGGGCCAGATGCGTTGCATCCGAGAGTGCTAAAGGAGTTGGCAGATGCGATTGCAGAGCCATTGGCCATTATCTTTGAAAACTCATGGCGATCGGGGGAAGTCCCGGACGACTGGAAAAAGGCTAATGTAGTGCCCATCTTTAAAAAAGGGAAGAAGGAGGATCCTGGGAACTACAGGCCAGTCAGCCTCACCTCAGTCCCTGGAAAAATCATGGAGCAGGTCCTCAAGGAATCAATTCTGAAGCACTTAGAGGAGAGGAAAGTGAACAGGAACAGTCAGCATGGATTCACCAAGGGCAAGTCATGCCTGACTAATCTAATTGCCTTCTATGATGAGATAACTGGTTCTGTGGATGAAGGGAAAGTGGTGGACGTGTTGTTCCTTGACTTTAGCAAAGCTTTTGACACTGTCTCCCACAGTATTCTTGCCAGCAAGTTAAAGAAGTATGGGCTGGATGAATGGACTATAAGGTGGATAGAAAGCTGTCTAGATTGTCGGGCTCAACGGGTAGTGATCAATGGCTCCATGTCTAGTTGGCAGCCGGTATCAAATGGAGTGCCCCAAGGGTCGGTCCTGGGGCCGGTTTTGTTCAATATCTTCATAAATGATCTGGAGGATGGTGTGGATTGCACCCTGAGCAAGTTTGCAGATGACACTAAACTGGGAGGAGAGGTAGATATGCTGGAGGGTAGGGATAGGATACAGAGGAACCTAGACAAATTGGAGGATTGGGCCAAAAGAAATCTGATGAGGTTCAACAAGGACAAGTGCAGAGTCCTGCACTTAGGACGGAAGAATCCAATGTACCGCTACAGACTAGGGACCGAATGGCTCGGCAGCAGTTCTGCGGAAAAGGACCTAGGGGTTACAGTGGACGAGAAGCTGGATATGAGTCAACAGTGTGCCCTTGTTGCCAAGAAGGCCAATGGCATTTTGGGATGTATAAGTAGGGGCACTGCCAGCCGATCGAGGGACGTGATCGTTCCCCTCTATTCGACACTGGTGAGGCCTCATCTGCAGTACTGTGTCCAGTTTTGGGCCCCACACTACAAGAAGGATGTGGAAAAATTGGAAAGAGTCCAGCGGAGGGCAACAAAAATGATTAGGGGACTGGAATACATGAGTTATGAGGAGAGGCTGAGGGAACTGGGGATGTTTAGTCTATGGAAGAGAAGAATGAGGGGGAATTTGATAGCAGCTTTCAACTACCTGAAAGGGGGTTCCAAAGAGGATGGATCTAGACTGTTCTCAGTGGTAGCAGATGACAGAACGAGGAGTAATGGTCTCAAGTTGCAGTGGGGGAGATTTAGGTTGGATATCAGGAAAAACTTTTTCACTAGGAGGGTGGTGAAACACTGGAATGCGTTACCTAGGGAGGTGGTGGACTCTCCTTCCTTAGAAGTTTTTAAGGTCAGGCTTGACAAAGCCCTGGCTGGGATGATGTAATTGGGGATCGGTCCTGCTTTGAGCAGGGGGTTGGACTAGATGACCTCCTGAGGTCCCTTCAAACCCTGCTATTCTATGATTCTAGGATACTATCTTACCATACACTATCAAGTCAAGTTCAAGGTTTCAATCCTTATTTTAAAAGTGCTCAGCTCAGTGGCCTGGGCCCAGCATAGCTAAAAGACCACCTAAAGCTTCAGGGGGAAAATTCTGGAAGACAATGCTGCTCCTCAGGTACAAAGGAACTTTTTATCATATGGGTAAAAGGCAGGTCTCTGCTTTTTTGGGGGCTAGAACCCCCGCACTGTGGAACAAACTTCCACAGGAACTAAGGACCAACATAAACTTTGCCACCATCCACTCCCAAGTGCCAGGTGCATTTCTTTAGCCTAACTTCTCTTCACACAAACAGCATGGACACTTAAAAAAAACCCCAAACCCTACCAAAACAAATCACTCCACTGTGCATGCAATTCTCCCCTTGGGGTGAGGATGAAAGAACCACAACTAAGTTCTGGA